GTCAACAAAAGTGTCGTTTTCCAAGGCGGTAGCAGCAAGAGGAAATTCTTTTCCATCATCTTTGGCTAGCTGCAATAAAGTTCGTATAGCCAAAAAAGGGGATGGAGATAATCCATAGGTTACGGTATTAAGTCGATAATCTTTTATAGGTTCTTGTGGGGAGAACCTCCACAAAATCCGTTGAAAATCTCTCTGTTCGGGAGTGATATAGATTTGTCGATACATCATCTTAATGTCGGCGGTGAGGACATAAGAGTGAAGACGAAAATTAAGAAGAATGGTGACAAGGTCACGTTGCAATTTTTGACCAGTGAACAAGTTTTCATTGAGTGAAGTTTGATTAGGAAGTTTAGCTGAACCATTGAATACTACCCTCAACTTCGTGGTAGTACTATCGGGACGAATAACGCAATGATGAGGTATGTAAAAGGTATTATGAGAGGTTGAAGGCTCTTGAACAAGCTCCATATGATTGAGATCAAGGTACTCTCTCATAAATGCTTGATATTGATCATAGATTTGCGGGTGTTTTTGAAGACGATTTTCAAGAGATATGAAACGATTTAAAGCGAGATTTCGTATACCGGGAAATGAAGGATTCGGATTACGAAAAGGGTAATGCACGATGAATCTTCCTGTGTCATCTCTTTGGAATGTCTCCAAAAAATGCTTTTCACAGGCCTCATCCTCAGGAGATATTGATTTGATTTCAGGGACAGATTCGATTTCCCAGAACCTTTTCACAGATTCTTCCAAGGACGAAAAGTTAGTAGTCGAGCAAAAGAGGGAAACGACCGGGGCAGGGCGTAGTGAGTCAATTTTTCCCATCAGGACGTATCCGAAAATGGTATTGATGGCATCAGGTTCCCCGTTAGCCCCAGAAATATGCCCATTCAGCAATATTTTTGAAAAAACATCAGCACCTAATAATAGGTCGATATTTCCTGGACTATGAAACTGTTCATCGGCTAAGTTGAGATTCGAAAGATACGAAAAATTATTCGAAAGACCGGTTGAGGGTAAATCTCCACAGATTTTTGGAAGAACAACTGCGTCAACATTTAAAATTGACGAAGGATTTCGGAATGACCGAATTGAAATAGTAACACCTCCATTGTTAGCGAGAGTATTCATTGAGCCTAAGCCATTGAGTTTTAAAGAAAAATGAGTCGAAGTTATACCTAAACGATTGATGCATTTTTTCGTTATAAATGACGTCATACTGCCGCTGTCTAACAAACACCGGAAGGGTTGATAGTTACCCCAACTATCGAGAACTTCAACACGAGCAGTCGACAGCAGAACTCGAGAATCAGACGATGCGAAACCAGCATGAGTTGACGCAACATTGGAGGAGTTTTGAGATGTACTTGGAGAATTGGAATTGTCATTACCTGACCGAAGTGGAGAAGTATTGGGGACGTGATCCGAAGTTACGACAATGGAAGGAACTTTTTTATCGAAATGCAAAGATGTATGATGACGTAATCCACACCGATGACAAGTGATGAGTGATTGGCAGTTTTTGAAGCTATGTGTATTACTCAAACAATTGATACAAAGATGAAGATTCTTTGCAAATTGATAGCGATCATTGGGAGATTTTTTGATGAATTCAGGGCACCTGAACAGCATGTGATCTAACTTACAGTTTACACAAACAGCGGTTTTATCTCGAAGTGAATTATTATTTGTTTGTATCAATAATGAAGTTGAAGTGCGTGGAGAAAATGATGGTTTTTGATACTCTGATCGTTTTTGACTTGGTTTTGTCTGACGAGATACATTCAAATTAGCTAATGCAGAGCAGTGTTGTGAAAGAAAGTCAAATAATTTTTTGAAAGTTGGTGAGTCTGATGAATTATGAAACAGTTCAAACCGAGTTGCTACTGAAACATCGATTCGTTTAAGAAGCATTTGAACCAGAATGAAATCCCACTGATCTGTAGGGAATTTTAGAATTTTCAAGGCAGCAATGTTTTCGGCGAATATGTCGAGCAAATTTCGCAAATCTTGAGGATTTTCACCATTTTGTTTTGGCGAATTCTCGATAGCAGCCCAATGTGCAGCTGCAATCAATCGCGTATTCTTATATCGATTATTAAGTGTGTTGTATGCAATTCGATAATTATTTGAAGTCAAAGGCAATGTCTTGACTAAAGCTAAGGCTGGACCCTTGAGTGATGCTAGCAAATAATTGAATTTTTCAATTTCACTCAATTTTGTATTATTTTCAATTAAGGCATCGAACATATCAATAAAAGATGGAAAGGAGGTTGTATCACCACTGAAAATAGGTAACTGAATTTTTGGAAGTGATACGTTTGAAGAACTCTCAATTTGAGGATCTGAATTCGTAGATGGAAGCCGTGCATAAAAAGATTTGATCGTATAAAACATCTTTTCGAACTCCTTCCGAACATAATCTTCTGTATCGAATGCTGCATCATCATTATCTGCAACTTCACCCATGATGATGTTGTGACCTTTAAAAAAATCATCTTTGATTGAATCTATATTTTCATACCAAACATTGAACAATGCGATTGATTCAGAATCGAATGACGACATATATAGCATTATTTGCTACATCAGCAAGTTCTTCAAGTTTTTTTATTTGACTTTTCCGAAGCAATTTTGCTTTCTTAACTTTTTCTGTTGACATTTTGATCGAGAAAGAAGCGGTGAAAATTCGAAATTGTAAATAAAGAATTAATTAATGAATACGCAGAATTACACGCAAAGTTTTGCGCGAGCCACTCAGTAACAGACGCGAGAGATGTGACGATGAGCCTGACGTATCAAGATGTGTGACGTATAGGTATGACGTAGCTGATAGCCAGCGTACCACCGATTTCAGTGCGCAGTGCAGTACTTGGACGGTATCGAAGATATATTTTAGCATACGACGTACTGAACAGTGTCCCCTACTACTGGCCTAATGAGTTGAAAAGAGATCGCTAATAAATGAATGATGTCGTATGATAATTTGAACAAGGACTCTTTTTTTTGTCTATATATGAGAGGAGTCTCCTTGCTCGTTTGTTTTGATGGTTTTTGCTAGATAGAAAAAAGGAAAAAATAACCTGTGATAATTTCACGAAATGAATGAAATTTTGATAAAAGCAATGCAACTCCGTGAAATTACTTCAATCTCAAATGACTTACACAGAATCTGCCATCCGACTTCGAAGGACCAAAAATGTTATGTAAGGGGGTTGAATCCCTTACCCGTAAAGTCTCAGGAGAGAAAAAAATGGACTGGAGGCAAATTGAGCGTGGTCTTTAAGATCTTACCTTATGGTATTTCGTGGAATTATGGGTGGTGACGAGCCGGCCGGCACTCTGAACTGGACGTATGGGATGAATGGTCTTCCCTCAGGAACTATCTGGTACCACTCGCGTCACGAGAGACAACTAATCCTTAATTGAACACTTAAGGTTCCATTAACGTCTGGAGGACGGATATTTTGTTATTGTTGAGAAAATTTTACTTGGAAAGATCCAAGGCGATCGAATTGAAAAATGTCGGATTCGATGTACGAAAAGTTCTGATCTTTTATCAGCGGTGGCCACTTGGAGGCGCTGCATGTAAAACCTTAAAGACCTGATGCGCGAATTCAATTTTGAGATATACAGTGAGCCAAACACGGATAGCAGATAATGCATAGAAATTCATTATTTTTTTTTTTTTAAGTTTACATAAAAGGACATAACAAAGGAGATGGACGGAACAATAATGAATGCTTCGTAAGTTACATGTCCTCACAAATAATTGAGCAAAATTGATAAAACGCCTTATATCGCTGGTATAAAACTTGTGAGACCCTACAAATATGGTATATTCAGGACCACTTTGATGAGCTTTACCCGCCGTTTCTCTGTTTCCTAATGGGATACCCTGTACATCACTGAGATTCTTCAAATGTTACTCATCGGATAGAACTCAGCGAGTTAAAATTGAAAACTTGGTGTCAGAAAGTGGAAGTGTTCTGTCTGGGGTACCTCAAGGGTCGATCTTGGGACCGCTATTATTTATCATCTTCACAGCAGATATGTTTAAAACAGTTGAGAATTCGAGTATCCTAGCATATGCTGATAATAGCAACATACTTCACTATTTTGATTCTTCTATTGCTTATGACCATTCTGCAGACCTGAACAGCGATATCTTGATCAGATATTATCATTTTCCAAAGAACAGAATTTGAAACTCAATCTTGCAAAGTGTCACGCTATTTCATTTTGTTCCGACAGATATCGAGATGAATTGAAGGAAAACTTGAACATACAGATTGATGGAGAAACTGTGAGTTGAGTGCAATCTTTGAGGAATTTAGGGGTGATATTCGACGAAAAGCTGATATTTGAAGAACACGTCAAGAAAATTGTACAAAAACATATTCCACTCTCAAGCTGTTATAGGTACTCGAATGAGCATGTCCTGAATTTTTCTATCAGAAAGACACTATGTAAAAGTTTGGTAGTATCAGGAATTGGATATTGTGATATGGTAAAATCCATGCTCAGATAATACCACCAAACACAGACTCCATCAGATAATCCAAAACACCTGTTGTCGTTTTGTCTATTGTTTGAATAAATATGATTCGTTATCTAATAAATTAACTGCCCATAAATGTTCACCTGTGACAAAATTCGAATACAAATTTGAAGCATGATTTGTTAAATTCTTGATTAATCTTTTAGTTTTGCCGTTTTTGTCATGTGTATGATGAATATTCCGTTTTTCGCCTGTTTTATGGGCTAAGCTTAGGTTAGGGTAGTTAGTTATAGGTTATGTTGATTTTAAAAATGGGTTAAATGTATGAATAGCCTTGGCTAAATTTCGACCAAATAAAGACGATTTATTATTATACTTATTTTTATATGATGAGAGCAAGTATAACAAAATACCATAAATATGAACATAGTTTTTCAAACAAAGAAACGTGAAATAGGAATATGCTTACTATGATCTCAATATTGATTTTGAATAGATACCATCGAGGTCTGTAACCGCTGAACAGAAAGATTCAGATGAATACGAAACCCCATTGGAAGTAACTACAAAAAGGACAAATGGCAGACGTCGTGGAGGTAATAACAGAGGAACATCAAGACCACAAGAAGATAGCTATGAGGATTCGGAGAAAAGTGCTTCTAGGAACAAGGAACAGAGTCAGGTATGGAGTTTTATTGTTGAGAAATATGGTAACAACATTAGTTCACTCCGGAACGAAGTCTGAAGAAGGAAATATAAAAAAATAAAAAATTAAAAGTTATTTCATCAATATGAGTCCGAAAATTCTTCCTTGGGGCGCTACAGTCCTTTAAAGTTAGCTCCCTAAATGCAATTGCCTTAATTACGAGAGATCCTAGATCAACGGAATGTTGTACCTAATAGTAACAATATAATATACATAGACGTCTGAATTTTTCTGAATTTGTGAGATCGAATTACTCTTTCGTACCAAATTTCGTAATTCTAGGATCAATATGATCACAAAGATAACTGAAAACAACTACGTTTAGGGACCTACTTCCTCAATCAATCAATCTTCATTTGTTCCTGAAAATAATACTTCCAAAGTGCTGTAGGAAGAGCATTTTTGGACACATGTTGATAGAACGATAATAACAATTTTTTTCTCATCTGCAGAATTACCACCCGGAATATACAAAAGTAATTCTGAATTCTGGTCCACGCTGTATAGTATTCCAGATTTTCATCAGAAAAATTTAGTAGAAGCTAGAGTATACGCCCAAATATATCATAAATTTATATGGAACTCAGTTTTCCAGATATAGAGGGTGTTGTCGTTCGAAATATGATTTTCCTCTGTCCTTCATCACCCTGTATAACCTTTCATAATGCCAAAATTAGGTGTGATCTGTGACTGACAATTTTTCAAAATCTCCAAATCATGTCTATCGTGTGATCTCAATGGAAGAATTGAATAAACCTACAGTAGAATCTTAAGTTACAATAGATACATGAAACAAAAAAGTTGTATCTCCGATTAATTGTGGAACAAGAACACATACAAACCTGCTGACTATAACGAAAATCAGCAAATGAGCTCTTGAGTCATGTATGAAAAACTAAGTATTTGTTTTCGAAAAACTTCAATTCCTTATTGTATGTCGAAAACGAAGCCCCATCAGAACATAGAATTTCAGAAGAACTATTTTTTTCATCCACATGAGTTCAATCGCCTATTAAACTTTCCCTATTACAATCTGAAATACCTTGTATATAAATATATAGAGATTTAGAAAAAGGGTAGTCTCAAGTAGTCTGACTGACTAGTTGAGGTGTAGAGGTACCAAAAGATCAGGAATATCATCACGGAAGATGAAAATAATTTTTTTTTCTCTATATTTTTCATCCCAAAGTGTCACTGCGTTTGAAAATTCCATCCATCATTCCTAGAAGGAAAATTCAATTGCTAGGTTGTTTCCATTGTTTTGCAAAATGTTTGAATGAGAGGTATATGTTCAAGATATTCCAAAATTACACAGAAAAATTTCAATCACAGAATCTAGGAACGAAATTAGTAAGAAAAGTTCATATAAACATGGGTCCAGGAATGGCCCCCCTGGGAGGATATATCATACTAAGAAGAGCCTCAGAGATGATGGTTTCATGTGTATATTTCCGAAACCGTCTGAGATACAATAACCAGATGTTGTATCTAACTTGTCCTGTCCGATTTGGAACAGTTAAGAATTTTACGAAATTTCCATCAGGGGCGTGGGAAATAGGTGGGGCTAGGCGTACTTTTTCTCCCGACTTTTCTGTTTGTGCAGTTTTCGGCAGTTTGATCGGGAAATATTAAAACCTCTACATTTTCACTTAAAAATGGTACTCCTATTTAGTTTCGAGAGCATTCACCATTTTCTAGATAAATCAATACTAAAATTCTGCTGCGTAATAAAAATAGTGCTGTTTCTTCCCTTGATAGATAGGGTACCGAATTTTCCAAAAAATTATGGTTCATCCACTCTTGAAGTTTGATTCAAAATATGGAGGATGCAATGAAAATGATACATTGAAATATGGTAGGTACCCTATTAAGAAAAAGTAAATGGTATTTTTATTACGCAGCAGACTTTTGGAATCGATTTATCTAGAGAATGGAAACTAAGCAAGAGCACAATTTTCAAGTGAAAATGATGATTTATTCATATTTCCTGGTCAAACGGCCGAAAATTGCATAAACAAAGAAGTTGTGGAAAAAAGTAACCCTTGTACCAACTATTTCCCACGTTCCTGTTGAAAATTTCACAAAATCCTCAACATTGCCTAATTGGACATAACCAGTTGGGTAAATAAAGGAAATGAGGTTATTTTATCACAGAGGATTTCGAAAATATTTACAATAAACATCTTCTTGGGCTCCCCTTCAGATGGCTATATATAGCCCCCCATGAAACTAAATAAATCAAATTCTTACATATTTAGGACGTTCGGGAGCGAATCAGATGTATCCTTATTGTTACAGCATATATCGTAATGATACTCATATTTTCATTCATAGAAATGAGGACAAGATAAAAATACAGTATTTAAGAAGAAAATCACTTGTCACCCTAGTCACACACGATGTTCCACGATTATAATGACACTCATTCGTGCGATCCGATAGATGAACAAATTCAAATTACTATGTGTTTAGGCACAGACGACGAAGAGGAGAATCGTCCAAAAAGGAGTCTCCACACAGGGTGTCCCACCACCGACACCGGTTAAAAAAAGAGAAGCCTGGGAAATTCCTCCCATTCAGTGTTACGAGCCAGAAGATGGAGTATTCTACGCACAGATGGGTCCTACTGGTGGAAAGAGAGGGTATCCCGCAATAACAGGTGAGGATTTGAGGGATAGTAACTGGAGTCTGGCTACTAAAATATGACTGCAGGAAAGATTAGAGAGTGTGAGCCCAGAGCACAATATAAATTTTGCGAATATCGACTCATCATTACGAAGGCGCTGAAGGACCACTCAAACTTTTTTTCTCGAATCCCGACCTTATTCTCGGGATCTCGACTTTGAAGTCGGAACCCCGACATTAATCTCGGGATCCTGACATCAAAGTCGAACCCCCGACTTTAATCTCAGGATCCCGACATTAAACTCGAAGACACTAGGTTTGTTACCTAACCGTGGAAGGTGCACTAACTACGCAGTCAGTGTCTGTCATGGTTCACATGTTGATCCTAATCCTAAATCACTATACTTATTCATAACTCTATTATCGTTTTCTCAATTTTCACTTATTCCAGGAGGGTTTTGAAATTTGATTACTTATTGAAGAAGTTCATCGATAAGTCCGAAGTTCATGGACAATTCCTCTCTCTTAGCTATCTATCCAAGGATGAAATGAAATACAGGGCGTTCCATTTGCAAATTTCGAGTAAATGATCGGTTTGCAAAATACGTCATAACTTTTGGTTATTTCGATTTTTTTTAATATTGACAAAATATCAATATAACATTCAGAATCTGTTAATTTATGATGAGAACTGCGCAACGGAAACTTGATTCTCAACGTTTCTAAAAGAGATTGAAGTCGGGATCCCGAGATTAAAGTTGAGAGCCCGAGATTGGAGTCGGGATTGGAGTCGAGATCCCGAGAATACAGTTGGACCCCCGACTTCAAAGTCGGGATCCTGAGATTGAAGTCGGGGGTCCGACTTTGAAGTCGGGATCCCAAGAATAAAGTCGGGATTCGAACAAGTATAGGTGGCCCTTTAGCGCCTGCGTACATCACTGTCGGTTTGAAAACAAAATCCCAAGCGCACGCTAAAAGTGGTGGAATAAATTCACAAGTGCAGTCAATCATGACGTTCATGAGTTGATGACGTCATCATCTGCAAAACCCAATTGTTTAGCCACTAGAGATTCCGAGGACTGAACGCCTTCAATCTGTCGTCCCAGGCCTTCTCTAGCAGGTCGAATTATATCCAAACCACTAATTCCAAAAGATAAAAGTTCATTTATTCACGAGATCGAACTCGATCCCTTAGATCATTGGCATTCAGAACGTCCCAGGTAGGAGAATGAAGTCCAATTGACGTAAATTTCTAAGCACAAAGTGACGAAGTGAACGTCCTAATATTATCAGGTCTTCTTTAGCTGGTCGAACTATAATCTAGACCGCTAATTCCCAAAGATAAAAGTTCATCTATTCACGAGATTTGATTAGATCCCTTGGAGTTTGGGCATTCAGAACGTCCCAGGTAGGAGAATGGAGTCCCATTGACGTAAATTCCTAAGTACAAAGTGACGAAGTGGACGTCCTAAAATTATGTCTGAGACTCTATAATGACGTCGAAATGTCACAGCCACAGGACGTTATATACATCACAATGACGTCTCACGTCTAACAAAAGTTGGCGGATTAGACAATCCAACTATGAGGTTAGAATCAATATGACGGCTGGTTAGCAAAGACGAATTATTATTATTATCATTATACAGGGTGTCCTTGAAAGGTTGGGAAATCTCGAAACTGGAGGTACCAGAGCCAAAAATAATACGATTGGACCAAACATACCTCAGTGGTAATATCGACAGGTAAAAAGATACAGAGTGTCTAAGTTATAATTTTATTTTCTATTTTTCCTCAATGCTTGAGCAGTTTTTAAGGTATTGGCATCGAATTCGGTATATGGCGGTACTTGAATATGAGAAATAGGAATCCGCCTTTAGTTTTGGTCAGACTCCTAGAGGGCGCCACGTACACCAATAGTTAAGCAAATAATCTGCAAGGACTTTTTTGTGACACTCTGTATGCAGTTACTGATTGAAAAATCTGGATCTGTCGTTCTTCCTCAACAATAAAGGTGTACTTGTTATAAATGTCTAAAGTCAATACTTTTCAAGCTATTTGCTTTCAAAAGTTTCAATGCAATTGTACTTAATGTAGGTAAACGCTCAACATTCTTTATCGTATCAATCAAGCCGCTCTGAAAAATATCTTTATAGTGTGGCTTGGATATCAAGGTGAGCACGAGCCCAGTGAGAGTGTTCCTGGGCCAACTCAGGCCCACCCTTATACTTACGTGCTTGTGATATGGTTTCTAATGTTTGTTATGAGATTACTTTTTTAAATGTCTTTAATAATTTCAAGTTAAAATTTTATTGTACACTATTATCAATAATAATAACAGCATACTTGTGTTCGATGAATTGTCTGACATGCATTCAATTAAAATTACCACAAATTGCAAAAAAGATAGCATTTTTAATAGAAAATTTTTAAAGGTGCACGAAATAAAATAAGAAATTGAAAATGAACTATTAATTAAAAGTAACTACAAAAACTGCTCAAAATGATCACTACCTTGTCTGATACACTCCCGAGCACGACGAACTATAGCTTGTTGCACCCTCCAAAGCATTTGAATGTTATTTTTGATTTCCTGGCTGTGGTGTAAAATTCTTTGACGAAGTTCGTCCTCAGTTCCCACATTAGTAGCATAGACACGTCGTTTCAATTCACCCCACAAGAAGAAATCCAAAGGATTTGAATCTGGTGATCTAGGCGGCCAGGACACAGGTCCTGATCGGCCTATCCACCGGTCTGGATAAATTCTGGTCAAATGCTCTCTTACTACCATGCTAAAATGAGGTGGAGCACCGTCGTGCATAAACCACATATTCATGCGCGTTTGCAACGGAAGATCTTCTAGCAGATTCGGTAGTTGTCTTGGAGAAATTCTAAATACCTTTGGCCATTTAGTCTAGGTGTTAACTCAACAGGTCCTATTAAATGATGTCCGATTATTCCTGCCCATAAATTAATTTGAAATTGCACTTGATTCCGGGTTTGTAGTATACCATGAGGGTTTTCGTATGCATACATGTGTGTATTATGAGAATTGATGGGACCGTCTCTCCGAAATCCTGCTTCGTCCGAAAACAACACTAAAGCGGTAAATCCATTATCTTGATAGAATTTCTCCAAGAGCCATGTACAAAATTCTAGAGCCTTGCAGGGTAGTCATCTGCGCTTAAACCTTGTACTTTTTGCATATGGTATGGATGAAGCAGCTGTTGCTCCCGAATAGTGCTGTTGACCGTAGTTTTTGAAATCTGGAATTCCTGTGCCAGATTCCTAACACTAACTCTAGGATCTTCGTCAACAGCAGCCAGGATATTTTCCTCTGATTCAACAGTTCGTATAGTTCTGGGAACTCCACCATGTCGACCCATATTTGGCTTGAAGCTACCTTAAATGTAATAATTACGGATTATTATTTACTGATCAAAATAAAGTAATAATAGTTCTCACCAGTTTCTCGCAGCAGCCGATCGACACGTTGAAATGTCTTTGAATTGGGCAATTGTCTATTGGGGAATCTTTCTGCGTACAGTCTTCGAGCTCTTAAGGCATTACATCGTGCCAATCCGTAAATTAAATGCACGTCAGAGTATTCCACAAATGTATACTCCATAATATTAAATAGTTCACAACAATATTTCAACTTAAGATTCTCAGTGATGACATTTATTGTGATCTCATAACAACTATTGGAAACCACAGCAACACTATAAAGATATATTTTTCAGAGCGGCTTGATCAATACGATAAAGAATGTTGAGCGTTTACCTACATTAAGTACAATTGCATTGAAACTTTCAAAAGCAATTAGCTTGAAAAGTATTAACTTTAGACATTTCTAACAGGTACACCTTTATTGTTGAGGAAGAACGATAGATCCAGATTTTTCAATCAGTAACTGCATACAGAGTGTCACAAAAAAGTCCTTGCAGATTATTTGCTTAACTATTGGTGTACGTGGCGCCCTCTAGGAGTCTGACCAAACCTAAAGGCGCATTCCTATTTCTCATTCAAGAACCGCCATATACCGAATTCAATGCCAATAAAAAATAAAATTGATATTTCCACTGAGGTATGTTTGGTCCAATTGTATTATTTTTGGCTCTGGTACCTCCAGTTTCGAGATTTCCCAACCTTTCAAGGACACCCTGTACATAAAATCATTAGAAATGATGTTACTAGAACAATTAAATAGTTACTGTTTGTGATTTTCTGTTATTATATGATGCCTTGTACTTCTCATTCTCATATCAACAGGAATTCGTATACATAAAAACGATTTATCACACATAAATAATTCCATTGTGTGCCAATCAGCGCATAGTTTGACAGATCATTGCATTGCCTAATTAATCTTCACATTGAGAGAAACGTATGTATATAAATACAGGCTCAAATTTTGAGGTATTTTTGTACCATATTCTTTTAAATGAATATTAATGATTATTAGTTGATGGAATCTGATAGGGTTGCAATAAAAAAAAATCTCTATTAAAAAAAAATTCTCTATTACGCATCGAGTGACCTAAAGCTACAGGGTATGTCACGAATCGAATGACGTGAAACTATACAGAGTATATGTCACGACGAGATTACACTATCTCTATATCGAGAATCAGTCAAGAGAAATCCATGAAAATATGCATGCTCATATTGCAGAAAACGCTTTTCTCATTGAAAATATTTTCAGCAATGCAGTGTTGCCGCTTCTATCAAGAAGTAGCAACAACTAGGTTATTTTGAATAGAATACCCTGTATTTTGGCGCATTTTTAGATTCTCCCTGAAGAGCAGATTTCATTGATATATCATACTTGGGGTCTATCGTAGATGATTACAGAGATATACGGTGTTCAAAATCGAGATTTTTCAGCTTTAGGATTTACCTTCGATATTTACTATTTACTGATATTTAATCGGAACAGATACAGGGTTGATCAGAATTCTGAATCTTGAACAACTCTGTATCTGTTCCGATTAAATATCTGTAAATATTGAATCAAAAGTCCAGATATGGACATGTGAGCCGTTTTGACCAATAATGAATAGTTGAAAGTTGATTACCCTATATCTCTGACATATTTTTGGATAGACCCCAAGTGTGATATATATCGATGCAATCAGCTCTTCAGGGAAACTCTGGGAATGTGACAGAATACAGGGTGTTTCATTTGGAATATCAATGTTGTTACTACTTTCTAGTAGAAGCGGCAACACTGCATTGTCGAAAATATTTTAAATGAGGAGAGCGTATTCGAGAATATAGGCATGCACATTTTCATGGATTTCTCCCGACTGATTCTTGATATAAAGATAGTGTTAGCTCGTCGTGACATAAATATCCTGTATATAGAGGCACCAATTCAAAATTAGAAAAATACAGCGCTTTGAAAAGTTCGCCACTAAATGTTTCACACCCTGTGATGATGATGGTTAACGTCCCTCTTAGGCCTTATTTAATAAGAATCTTATGTGATCCTTGATTTATTCAACTACCTATAATTTTTTTTTCTCGAACATAATTCTAACTTGATTAGTTATTATTGCTGAGTTATAGACGACGGATGAGATGAGATGCAGGATCCTGTAATAACCCATCACATTTTTCATGTACCCACTGAATAATGTATCGATTCTTCTGTTTTCAGGACATGTTGGCTGGGGAATCTCATGGTACATCAACGGACTCCTGATACCCGAAATCAACGTCGTAAGAGGGAAGTCTTACACATTCGTAGTGGAGGGTGGCTTAGATCCGGAAGTATCCGCAAAATACCATCCATTCTACATCACTGATGACCCTATTGGTGGTTATGAGTACAAGAAGCCAGAAGAAAGAGAGGCAAGTAATTCCTATACAGAAACTGGAGATTATCGGGATTCAGGATGAAGAAAGGAAGTTAAAAACTAGAGTAAGAACTGGGTTATCGCGTGAGTTCATGTCTCCGGCAGAGTTGAGATTTTCCGCTTTAGACTCAGAATAGTTCAAAGTCTTGTAGCCTTTGCCTATATATACAATTCACGATTGCTTTCCAATTAATAGTCGGCTCCTAGAGTGGCGTAAGGAGTCAGTGACAAATCGTACATGGAACATACATATAGGCTGGTGACTTCTCGTACACACACCAACAAAGTGAATGTGTCTAAAAACTAGTATTTCTTCCAATCTTTTAATAATGAGCATTACATCAGTACTACCGGCCTCAAAAATAATGATTGTGACGTAACTACAATATGTTCATAAGCAACATATATAGTTGTTATTCCACTGACAAATTTGAACAACGTTGATACAATCGAAGAATATCCCTATCTGAACCGAAGCATTTTTTGTGCAAGATTGAATTGTAACAAAACTCCCAAATACTTTATAAAATAGACCACCATACCGTATAATATATGAGGTCGCATCATAATCTTCATCAACCATCTCTCAAGCTGAAATACATGCCATCAACCTATGCGCCCAAAGGTGCCTGATCAAAGATCTGAGGGGTGCCAACATATATATCTGCTCAGACAGCCAAGACGCACTAAAAGCCCTAAAATCATTTCTTTTCACATCAAAGATTACATGGGACTGTTCTGAAATACTCATGCAACTGGAAGAGGACAACAAAGTCACACTTATGTGGGTTCCAGGACATGAAGGAATCAAAGGAAATGAGGCAGCTGATCGCCTTGCGAAGAGAGGTCCAGCATGTGCACTCTTTGGTCCTGGGCCTTTCTGTGGGATAAGCAAGTGTCACCTATGGGGAGAACTCAGAAAATGGAAAGAAATGAAAAGTCCTTCTACTGGAGAGCAACTCCAGGTCAACGACAAGCGAAAAGGTTCATCAACCATTCGCAGAACCGAGCCAAAGAGCTACTCAGCCTTAGCAAACCGGAGCTAAAGCTTATCACAGGCTTTTTCAGAGGACACTGCCCTCTGAGGTACCACCTGAAAAAAATGGGGCCTGGCGGAGACTGCAACTTCTGCAACAATTCGACCGAAACCGCGGAACACATACCTTGCTCATGTAAAGAATTAGTCCGCCAAAGGCTGAATCACCTTTAGAACAGGTCTATCTCAGACCTGCTGAGGTGGAAAATTCAAACGTCAGGAAAATTCTAGGCTTCATCAGAAGTCTAAGGTTAGGGGACCAAAACTAGATTAGGGTAAACAATAGATAATATAGTAAACAATAGATCTTCTAGGTCGCAGTGATCGAGAGGTCTTCCAGCCTATACGACCCATATACAATCTACAATCAACCTAATTCTGACAGTTTCGACCTTAGATATTGTTGATGAAAGACTGGTGAACACCACAGCCGCTTCTTTTATATGGGTCTGTCCTTTTCATCAAATTTGGCCAACTTGACTTTGCTCGTCTGCAGAAGTAGACTGTGGTTCAGTCCCAGCTGATGCAATTCTCGTTCCTTCATAAAATAACTCTCATCTTCTAGAATCAGGGACTTTTGAGATATTAATCACCTCGTAGCAACTTAAACCCATCACTTTCAAGTCGAATGTTCTGCCCGCCTTCATGCACTCCTTCAAACACAAAAGTGGAAATATTCATTTTTCCGAGATACCAGAGAGCTGTTTTGCATTACCACCAGAGCTCGTCAGTCATAAAATTTATGAGTTATAGTACAAGAACCGCCTGTAACAATACTTCTTGAAGAGGCACTCGAATCGCTGAATTATCTAGCATCATCTAAGTGTGGTATTATGTACTCACTGATGGTCACCTCATTCTTGTTGAGATGGTGTTCCTTTCATCTCACCGACTAAATTTTTTGCCTTGTATACAGTGTGTCAGTGTGCCCAAGATAAGGATGCACAGCATATGGGGATCTCGGTAACCGTATAAGAGTTAGAGTATTGCGCAATTGATGGGTCAATGAATAAATGTTGAGAAGTTCCAAAAATGCTCTCTACTTTTTTCTTCAAGTTACCTAATTGCAATATTACGAAAAAGCCGGAGGCACTTCCTTATTCACACTTTTTCACCTCTACAAAATTGCTTTCACAAAATTACCGTATATTGCTTCGTTTCGAAGAAACCATCATGAACTTCGTTTTTTATATGACACTGAAGCATTATTTTTTTCTGAATGAAAACATAGAAAAACAATAGCAATAAAAAATGTTATGTCATACAGGATGAATTTTTTAGTGCCATATAAAAAAACAACAGAATGAATTTTTTAGTGCCATATAAAAAAAACAAAGTTGTTGATGGTTTCTTCGAAACGAAACGTTGTACGAAGATTTTATGAATGCCATTTTGCAGAGGTCAGAAAGTGGCAATGTGAATATGAACCAAATCGACAAATTCTGGATTTTCAAGAAAAACTCCGGAAGTAAAGCACATTTTTGGGATTTCTCAACATCTATTTGTTTGCCCCTCAATTGCGGTAACCGAGATCCCCATGCTGTGCCTCCTTATCCTGGGCACACTGTATATATATTTTCCTATAATATGAGTAATTCTTGTTTTTTTTTTCAGAATATCCGGATATTTGCTGGTGTTCGTACAGCCAAAGATGGTTCCCCCGTGCCCACGGGTACCGGTCGTTTGTGCCACTGGACTCAAACCGGTGATTTGGAGGCAGACGACTTCCAATCGTTCGGAGCCTACCAGCGCACTCTAGAGCTGAAATGCGACCAAGGCGAACCAGGAGTCATCCAGTGGACGCCTGATAGTAATACGCCAGACACTGTCTATTACCAGGTAATTATAATTATTTATATTGATGCCAATACTTTTTTGTATTCAATTGCTTATCAAATGCCGATTTTAGTTGCAAAATCTATGAGATAAAACAATGAGTTGATATAGGGAACATATTCGAATAGAATACATTAATTGCTTCAATAATATACATTTCATAGCAAGGGTTCAAATGTACCGGTGCTAACATAAGTAATATATAAATATTGAACATAGCTTGAAATAAAAGAGAAAGTTATAGGCAAATACATTCAAGTAGTGAAAAAACATAGTGTAGAGAAAACTCATTCATTTATCACAAAAGAACGGAGTCTCAAGATATTATCTAGAGCATAGATGAGATTATCAAGGTTGGATAGATAGTCGAAATCTTGGAGTTTCATTGCACAATGAATTGGACAATCAAACAATATATGTTCTATAGTTTCCAGTTCTTTCATGTTACATATTGAACAAATTTCCCGCGGATCTATTCCATATGTAGAGCCGTTCAGTGTGAATTTAATAATGTATTTATTACGAAGACGGAGATGTGCAAAGGTTCTTTTGACTTGGATAGGAAAATTGAGGTTTGTAAAATCCTGGTTTGATCTGGTTATTCTATGAAAGCAATGAGAGAAAGAAACGCTGTACGGCTTGAAAGTGAAACATCTTCTTGAAATAGCTTTTCCTGAAATTTGAGCATTATCATTTTTTTCTCTTGGCTACTTATAGAGCCACGTTCAATTTGAGACCAAAGTTCAGAGAGTTGGTGAGACTTTTTAGTTGCAGTGTCCAGTTCAACCTTTCATCACAGTTATCAAGTGTGAACTGTCTTTTGAGACAAATCTTCGGTAATCGGGTTCCATTCATACTAAATATTTTGGTTATCCAATTCAGACATAGCTTAAGAACATTGTGAATCAATTCGACTCTCCCAGTTTCTAGTCTGACAACATAGTCAGGTGATGTAATAGGCAAAAGTAAAATTCTGTTGAGGAAAACCATTCGATCACGCTCCAACATTTCAGCGTATCTAAGATCCCGGACGGCAACACAACTGAATATAACGCTCACTATACTAGGATATCAAAAAGTTTCATTTCGCATTTTCAAATGTCACGCCAAGGTAGGAGTTCTTGGAAGTAACCTCGACTTTCTTGTTATCGAATAAAAATTTGGAGGATTCATCAACTCCGAAGCCTACGTGAGAGAAACACATGATATTTGTTTTCTTAGTGGGGTGTAATTCTCAAGAATCTTCAGTTTTTTTGCGAGGTCAATTTGAGATTCGGCAAATATCACAAGGTCATCGTCATAGGAAAGTATCAACATGTCATTTTTATTATCAATATTAATTCTGCGTGCCCCTTTGTTTGATATGGGGAACATATTCACATGAGAAAAGAAAATTAAAGTTGCCGCATAAATATTTATTTTTTTAAGAAATAGGCCGTCCGATATAACCCGGGGTTCGGGGTAATATCAAACGGTTCGACTTTTACGCTGCAGAACTTTGTTTTCAGCCACGTGATTGATACTGGTTCAGCTTAAACCCTTTATCGGACTTTTTTCACGAAAAAAAGCAATGCAGGGTACATAATTGGTGATGTATGTAGTAAAAAATTAGAGTATAATCAATAAAATGAAAATAAAAGTCTATATTCATAGAAATAATATAAGAACAACAAACAAAAAACAAAAATAAACATCACATTCTATAAAAACAAAAACAAAAATTCTGAGATCATTTCTGAGGTCATAAATCAAAAGCGAAGACCTTGGAACACATGAATACCGCGATGAATTTTGGGAGCAGTTTAAATGCTATGCACTTGTTGAAGTTTTATTTTGATCTCGTCTTTACCTTCCGGAAAAACAAAGGAATCTTCGTGACCCTTATAGGATCTAAGGCAATTCACAGTAAAATTTTTTGAAATGTTTCAATTCACGCAACGAATTCTTTGGTCGTTTCTTTCTTGTTCCCTTCATTTTATAAAAATGTTACTATAGCAAAACAGCCTTCTTGTAATGTATCACAGGTTACTGGGTATTCAACGTTCGGTGATTCCGATGTGGAATCTTCGTCCATCACTTCAGACTTGGAATCATCGTCAGGATTAGTCAGGAATATCGTTTTCTGAAAATATCACAGAGTTTCTAGTGTCATAATTAGCATTTTCTCTGGACGTGGATGCATCTTCATTTACGATATTTTCTTGAGAGTTAGATGCACCTTCATTCAATTCACATAGGTCTTCAAGGCCCACCGATTTGCCAGCAGGGACGTTAATCTTCGACTTTCGCTTGGGTGTAGTCGATTTTTGATCCAAATCGCGTTCATAACTTCAGAAAACGACGTTCTCATCACATTATCTATGCCTCATGCATGTCGTTTCTGAATCCTTTTCATAACTTGTGATGGATCATGGATCGAATGGAATAATTTTTTTTTCATATGTTCTGGTTCTCACGGAAAGGGATATCCGTTCAGAGAACATCGTGAGAACCAAGGGAAATAAGGTAGGAAGCCTCTATTCGTTGGATGAACGAGTCTTTGGAAAGAGATGTTCTGCAGGTCTCCAAAGTGACCACGAAGGGGTGCGAAGACTCAACTCGACGGGTTAATCCCGCGGGGACTCACCAAAGAGGGAATAATTATTGATATTTCAGAAGAGCATCGTCCATGGAAATATCCATAAAATAGAACCAGATCGCCAACTTTTCTACGGGGTTCCAGAGAAGTGAGTGAGTTTGTGAGCGAGGTATAACCCACGAGACGAATTGCCCTTTTTTGGACAGAATCCAACAGTTTCAGGGTATGTTTGGGTGTTGCATTCCAAATATGGGAACAGTATTCCAGGATAGGTCGGATCTGTGCCTTATAGATCATAAGCAGCTGACTGGAAGTGAAATAGGTCCTGGTCCGAAACAGAAAACCAAGTTTTTGGAATGCACTTTGAGCAATCGATCTCACGTGATTTTCCCAAGAAAGGTTATTGCTGATAGTAATACCAAGCATGCTTGTGTTTTATTTGCATTGAATTCTACCAAGTTATGGGATCTCCATTCGAGCATTGTTGCCAAGTCCATATTTATGTTGTCAACATTCCCGCGATGCTCGGAAACCAGACACTATAATATGGTTGTGACATGCGATCCTTCGATACTTCCAGAAGTTTCTTCAGCAGCGAAGGAACGACAGATTTCGGCACAACTCCTTTATGGGTCAGAATTTCTCGCCACACCCGTTTGAGTGGTCCATATACAGGGTGTCCGCTAAAAGGAGGTCAATCCGTTAACCACATATTCCTTGAACAAAAACAATATGAGTTTCTAAATATCATTTTTCATTTTAGCCCTTCATATTCGGTATACAGGGTGTCAAAGTTGGAAATTAAAAACTGTTTTTTTCTAATTACTCGCGTATTTGATAAGATATTAATCTCAAAATTGGTACATTACTTCAGCACAAAGAGTTACATCGTGTGAGGAAAACAAAACAGAAAATAACTGTCAAATATTCAAGATACTGGGGGTCAAGTTCACACTTACCCCCATATTTTGTTTGTACGTGCGCTAATGACTTCCTATCTATTTTCCTTCAAGTGTTCAATCATTTTTGAGTATTTTTTTTAAGATAATTCGAAAAGTACTGGTTATTGTTTGATGCCTATGCGGCTTAGGTAATCTCATAATGTTCACATATTCCTATTTATTTCGTCGAAATTGAAAGAGGGCGTATCTTTTTACGTACGAAAAGGTAAATATGGAAATACCGGGTGCTCGGAGCAAATGTACTAAAATAATTTTTACAAAAAAAAATTAAAAAGTGTAAAAATTATTTTAATACATTCGCTCTGAGCACCCGGTATTTCCATATTCACCTTTCCGTACGTAATAAGATACGCCCTCTTTCAATTTCGACGAAATAAATAGGAGTATGTGAACATTATGAGATTACCGTAAGCCGCAAGGCATCAAACAATAACCGATTCAATACTTTTTATTTCTCAACTTAAACATGAATAACATTTATGTGGGTATATATAAAACCTAATATAACATGTAAATAAAACAGCAACATATGAAACATTACGGTAACAATACACGTTAAAACCCTCTGGGGAGACCTCCCGGAGCCCAGAGGTCGGCCACGAATGGTCTACGGGGGTCGGTTTTTACACAACACACATGATAGATATGATGGGCAGGCTATGTCCCAGGACTGGGTCCTATCCATGGCCAATATTAGCGAGATGCTCAGGGCGAGCGAAAATTCAACGTTCAGATTTGATGCTACCAAGATCTCTCTAAATTAGGTGATTTAATTAGTGGAAAATGAAAATAAAAAAACCACTATTTCAATACTTCCAAGTGCAACTGCCATGGGGTGGTGTGGGTAAGGGTTGGGGATGGGTTTGGTAGGAAGGTATAGGACTAACAGACTGAATTTAAGCGAATATCAGTTAGTCGGATGTGGTCCGAGTGAATATTCACTGGCTCGGCTAGTGGTTGTGCCAAATTACTAACTTCGCCCACTTTGGGCTGGATGTGATCAGTCGTTCGGTCGGAACCAGAGCATTTGATCTTCGGGTCGACCGAACCACCTTATAAACCTCGAATAATTCCCGTTTTAGGGAGTTTGAGAGCGCGTTCAGTCTATTGGGAAAAGGGGAGGGTGGGATTTTATTCCAGGGGTTCCCTGAAAATACCGCACGCTTCGTAGATAAGCCCGTGTTTTCTACGTTGGACATGATCTGCCCTGATTGAGGTGATATCGTTGGTTAATTCGCTATTGCGAATGTGATACCTATAAAATTTATCTGATAGTTTCAGAATGTAATCTCTTATGAGAGGCAGATCATGGCACTGTGAATGCAAGTCTACCACTCGAGTGTATCTGTTACCGTTGGTAATAATACGGAGTACCTTATTCTGTAGTATTTGTAATTTACTCATATGAGTAGACGAAATACTACAGAATACTGGGCAGGCGTATGTTAATGTTGGCCGGATTATTTGTTTGTAAATCAGGAGTTTGTTGTCCAGTGATAGCGAGGAATTCCTTGCCAACAAAGGATACAAGCTCCTGATTGTCGCGTTGGTTTTTGCTAAAAGATATCCAGTATTAGCGAAGAAGTTCATACGTCTGTCCAGTTTGACTCCCAGGTATTTCACGGAGGCCTTGACCTCCACCTCAGTGTCCTTGACACGCAAAGGTTGGAATAAAGTGTTGTTTGTGAATTTTCTAGAGAAGTTTATGATTTCTGTTTTGGCATGATTTATTCCAATCTTCGCGTTGTCAAGATACGGAATGACCCTCCTGTCCAGGTGTTCCTGGATCTGAGCCCTGGCGACATCCGAGAAGTACGAGTGTGCATATATTGCAGTATCATCCGCATATAATGCAGTACTCGCATTATCGCACACAGGAAGGTCATAAGTATATAAAGAGTACAGCAGAGGTGAAATGCACGACCCCTGTGGAACACCTGCCTCGAGTGGAAATTGTCTGGAAATAGTGTTGTTAATTTTGACTTTAATGTTGCGACGGGCTAAATACGAGTCGATCAACTTAACAATGAATATGGGCATCCCTGCAGATGCCAACTTATACATCAACCCCTCGTGCCAAACGGTGTCGAATGCTTTTTCAATATCCATCAGGACCATAACCGTGTTTTCATCTTGGCTGAAGGCTTCTTTGATCCCGTGAACAATTCGAGCAACTTGGGACGTTGTACTGTGTCCCTTGCGGAACCCGAATTGCTCAGGAGGGATCACACTCAGGTCTTCTGCGAGAGTGTCAACCATATGGAGAATTGTCTTATCTATGACTCTGGCTACTATGCTGAGCAGAGAGATAGGGCGGTAGCTACCTGGTAATTTGGGATTTTTGCCTGGTTTCAGAATGGGCACAACAATCCCAGTTTTTAGGGACTCTGGGTAGTGCTGTGTCCTGATAATAGCATTGAGGATGTAATGTAATTGAACAATGGTTTTTCGAGGCATGTTTTTCATGAGAATCACATCGATACCGTCGGGTCCTGGAGCTTTATTGAGGGTTAGACATCTTATATCATTTGACACCTTCTTTGGGGTGGTTAGGAATTTGCTGAGGGCTCGACGGGTCAAAGGGATACTAGGAATGGTCCGATAGTTGGCTGCCAACCTCAATACTTCCACTTGCTGATCGTTCTGAGGGGTCTTGTCTATTTTATTGATACTATGAAAATAGCTTCCAAGCGCCTCCGCCTTTTCAGGATCTGTCACCGCATCCCCAGTGCGGCACTCTAGAGAAGGAATGGGTTCGAACCTTCGTCTAAGTCCTCTTGTCATCTTCCATAGGGTGCCGTCCTGTGGACTCAAATTCTCCACTTTGGTTCTCCAGGCTGCATTCCTGACCTCACGAATTCTATTGTCGACTAGGCTTCCGAGTCTTCTGAACTCTAGTCTGCTTTCTCGTGTTTTTACCCGTTGCCACGTTTTTCTAGCGCGTTTCCTTTGAGCGATTAGGTCAAGAATATCATCCGGGAGGTGGTCCTTAGTGGAGCTGATGGTGACCTTACGTGTGGATGCTGCTCTTGCATCCTGGATGTTCTTGACGAGGGTTTTTACTTGCTCGTCAATTTCATCCAGGGTGATATTGGATTTTATTATTGTATTTTCGTTTAGATGAGCTCTGTATACCCTCCAGTCGGTTCTTTTATAATCGAAAATAGATTTTTTAATGTCGGGCACTTTCGTGCCTGATTCGAAAAGGACCGGAAGATGGTCAGAGCTCATCTCGTCTACAACCCGGATTTTCGTAACGTCCACAACGTTTTTAGTCACCATCAGGTCAATGATGGTAGGTGACGTTCCATTGAAGGGGAGATGCGTAGGAGCGTTTGGAGCTTCGATATTGATATTGGCAGCCATCCCGAACCTTCTCAGAGTTCTTCCATTTGTATTATCGATGTGATTCCCCCAATCAGCATGCCTCGCGTTGAGGTCTCCAGCTATAATTACCTTGTTCCCAGCACCACACAGGGCCTCCAGGTCGTTTTCAGTAAAGTTATTTCTGGGACTGTTGTACACTGCAAATAAAGTTTCCCCACTATGTAGTCTCACTCCAACGTGCTCTATAGAACATTGTCTCGGTGGGACCACAGAGTGGGGAATATTGTTCCTGACCAGGATAGCTACCCCTCCATATCTATTCGCACCAGGACGATCTACCCTAGTAATAGTAAAACCCTTCACACGAAATTTATGCTCCTGTCGGAGTTTGGTTTCCGACAAGAAGATGATGTCAAGGTGGTATTGCTGTACAAAATTAACGAAAGATGGCATCTTATTATTGATGCCATTTACGTTAAAATTGCACATTTTGAGAGCCACGTTAATTGTTAATTCGGTAGCTCGCGATATTACTCGCGAACTCCTGGAATATCATTAGAATGTCCATGGCAGTGCCGCTGGTGGCAGCAATCTTAGCATTCAAATCTTTCAAGGCCCTGACCAACTCACCAAGATTGACCTTCTGGTTCAGGATCTGCAGCTCGCCCATCACCGCCATCATGTCGTTGGTGTTTCCTTGGTCTTGTGTACTCGCAGTCGGCCTCCGGACTCCGAGTTGTGTTTTTGTTCTGGATTCTTCCTCTTGAGTGCTGGTGGGCTGCCGTGCCTCTCTCCGCAAGTCCCATGCGTTCCTGGCAGGGGGGGGGGGCCGGGACCAGACCTACTCTACCTGGCTTGTTTGTCCTACTCTTATGAAGCAGTTCGATTTTCTTGATGTAACTTTCACAATCCGTGCTGTTGGCAGGGTGGTCGCTTCCGCAATTTGCACATTTCGCAGGCTGCGAATTGGGCAGATTGCATGATGACGTTAGGTGGTCCTTAGCACATTTCAGGCATCTAGGTGGCCTGAAACAGTTGCTAGTTGCGTGTCCCCACACCTGACATCGTCGGCATTGTGTAATTTCTCTATTGTTCTTGCGCAATTCCCAAGAGATTTTAGTTGAGAGTAGATATTTTATTTTGTTGTTAAGTAATTGTAATGTGTATTTTGTATCCAGCACAACCAGATAAAGGGGCCTGAACCTGGTTCTGAGCCTGAACACCTCCTTGACGACTACCTCATGCTGCTCCAGCATATCAGTAGAGATATCGGCGGGCTCAGGCTCAAAGTCCAATCCTCGTACCACAAACGCATGTGACTTGTCTTTTTTTTGTGTGTATGTGTGGAATGGGACTTCCTCCTTCTTGAAATGGTCCCTCAGATTAGTATAGTCCTGGTCGTTTTCAGCATACAAAAGGGTAGTGTTTTGACCATATTTAAAGAAAACTGGCTTGGTCGATAGTTTTTTTATTTCATCCAGAAACCTGTTACGATCTGTTATAATCCCCTGGATGACGATTGGTGGAGGTTTCTGGGCTTTTTTTGTTGTGTTAGTATTTTGTTTTGTTTTGTTATTAGTTTTGTTATTTTTTTGGGTTTTCTCATTTTTATTCCTATGACTAGTATCTGTTTTAGATCGTGTGTCCTCTTCTTCCTCCTCATCCGATGAGGCACAGGTGCTGCTGATCGGTGGGGCAGGTATCAGGTTTTTCGTGATACCTGATGTTCCGGGTTGAGGTTCATCTGCAGCGAGAGGAGAGAATTTATTCTTTATTTGTGTGGGTATGATATCTTTCCTTTGTCGGATTATTTTAGCCCATTTTGAGGTCTTCTTGGGGACAGTGAACCCATCAACCTGATTTTTCGCTCTCTTCTCAGCATTATCGCTTTGTGAGGTATCGCTTTCGTCTGTTCTTCCCCTTTTCTCAAGTAATCTCTGTCCAGGAGGGCCATAGTTAACCTCCATCGGAGTAGTTAAGATTCCTTCGTTTTGTAGAATTCGAATGTTTGTCAGATGTGATGTTGGCTGTGATATCATTGTTGTGGGGATGCCTAGCCCTGTATCTCTGTCGATATTCGCCAGCCCTTCCGTGTATCGAGAGTTCCACTGTGGTGGCATTGCAGGCATCTCCTCGACCGTCACGATAGGGGTGGCTGGGATGGAATTGTTGGACGGAGTTACGATGATTTTTTCCTCTATGAAATCACCAATTTGTCTCGGAGATCTAGGACGTTCTTCGTTCTCTTTGGTTGACCCTTTTTTCATAATTGATCTATACCTTAATGTTCTCGATGTGGCCTGTATGATGTCTGCCTCTGTGGGAGAAGTGGGTGTGGTTTTTCCTGAGGTTTTGAGCCTCATTCTGGCATCTCTGTCAGATTGGGTCTCCTCGGATGTGGTTACTGTTATTTCAGTGCCCAATGGTTTATTTTCTTCTTCATACCGATCATTTCTGGTGAATTCTGGGTCTTCCTCCTCCTCATCTATTTCAGGTGTCCTGGTGGACGAGAGGCTCATCCTTGTTGTTGACGAGGCGGCTGAGGATAGCCAGTCTTGAACAGTGGTGCTCGAGTACATGAAGCTGTTATCCTCTAGTAGCTCTAACGCCTCCTTGGTGATATTATTGTCCACTAGCTTTTCATTGATGAATTTTGCCCGATCTTCGTACGTCATTTGTGGGTGGTTTTTACCTGCGATCTTCCAGAGTGAGCTGGGGATATCCTCAGGTTTGGCAGCTATTTCTATCGCATTATAGGTTTCAAGGACTATTCGTTTGACTTGTGAGTTGTCGAGTTTGACCTTGCTATGTTGGGGTGGTTTATGGACCTTGAAGTCGGCCCATTTATTATAGTCATCTGTTCTCAATCCAGTTTTTGCATAGAATAGTCTGAAAGCCTCTAACTTATGTTTCTCAGGAATGCCTCTGAACAGATTCCTTCGCATAAATGCAGGGATCTGTTGCAGATTTCTTATTGTAGGAGGGTATTCAAAGCCACCTGCTATTGCGTGTATTGGGGCATCATTTCGATCTGTTTTTGTATATTTCTCCCTCTCCGATCTGGGATTCTCGAGTATTGATAATTTTGGGGAAACAACGCCAGGGGAGGAGGACCCTTCCCCAGCTGGACCTACTCGATTCAACCCAGCTGGACCGAGGTTACCTCCATCCTGCGTTGTTCCTTCTTGCTGGTCAGATATTTTGTTAATTTTCTGTGTATTCGATAATTCCTCAGAGTGATTTAATACTTTCTCCAGGGTGCCGGAGCACCCTGTATATGAAAAAGTTAGAAGTCACCAGCCAGTAGTCTATGAGGCTGTTTGACAATTATGCAGCCTCTTTGGCTGCCTTGGGCCTAATGTTTTTACCCAGACGGCGCCTCTTAGGGTATCCAAGCGCTTCCACTGCGACGAGAGTTTGTGACTTTCGTCTATCGAAACGTTGAACACGGGCGAGGATTTAAAGCACTAGCACGCACCAAAACGCGACCGCTCGGTTTGAGTGCCGGAGCATCACTCCTCAAACAATAACCAGTACTTTTCGAATTATCTTAAAAACAAATAATTTTATCGGAATTTTACAAAAATCAAAAAATACTCAAAAATGATTGAACACATGAAGAAAAATAGATAGGAAGTCATTAGCGCACGTACAAAAAAAATATGAGGGTAAGTGTGTAGGTACTTGACCCCCAGTATTTTGAATATTTGACAGTTATTTTTTGTTTTGTTTTCCTCACACGATGTAACTCTTTGTGCTGAAGTAATGTACCTATTTTGAGATTAATATCTTATTAATTACGCGAGTAATTAGAAAAAAACAGTTTTTAATTTTCAACTTTGACACCCTGTATATCGAATAAGAAGGGCTAAAATGAAAAATGGTATTCAAAAACTCATATTATTTTTGTTCAAGGAATATATGGTTAATGGATTGACCTCCTTTTAGCGGACACCCTGTATACTGCGACGTCCAGAGGCGTACATAATTGTGTCGAATTCTTCGGCAAAAGTACAAACTGAATGTTATTTTCTGTGCAGTTTTTGATAATGTGGTAAAAAATATGACTCGCTAAGTTACCGCAAATGGGAACCTTCTTCTCACAAAATTTGATGATGATCGTATATATATTTCAAGTAGTATTCAATTTCGTGTATTTCTGGTCTTCATGAATGAGTTTGTGTAATACATTTTTGGAAAATATATCTGAGCATTTTTATTTTTTCTTATGGAGTTCAGGCTGTTCAGAGATATGCCGAGGTATGGTATTCTCCGTTTTTCTCGAAAACGAAGCAGGATACGAAAAAATAGCAAATGGATACCTTGGCTTCTGTCACCACAACTCGAAACCCTGTCCTGTATACTGTTGTGTGAGGTTGTGAAACTTGAGCCAATAAAATAATAATAGAAATAATTGCAACAAAATATAGCATTTCACATAAACAAAAAAAAGGCAACGGCACGCGGTGTTCCCAAGCGGTCACCCATCCAAGTACTAACCGCGCCCGACGTTGCTTGACTTCCACGATCAGACGAGTGTGGGTATATTTCAACGTGGTATGGTCGTTGCCTGAAAATTGCTGCTGGTCAGGTAGGTATTTGAAGGTTATAATAGGAAATGAAAAATTCAACATGAATATAATTCTAAAAGTGTTATGTAACTATGTTATCTACAACTTACATCACTGTTATGGCGAAAGGTCCGCCACAAATACTGCATAATTTTTATGTAACAATTATGTCAATATTTTATATAAGTACCTATAATTTGATTGCTATATATAAATATATAACAAATTAACATAAATATTACATACCATTCTCTAGATGTTATGTAAAATTTACATTTTTATATAATATTGATGAAACTACTTGACTAATTTCCGAAATGAATATCAGAATTTCACAAATAACCTCTTCATCACATCAACTCACACTTCACATGCATATGCACATATTGATAACTAAGTAATCATCTCAGTACCCAGCCAACCATGAGATGTATAAGTGATGTATACGCTACATCACTTTGTGACATGCGATATCGCATTTGAAGTCACAAACATGCTACCGATACAACGTGGCGATGTGAAAATGTCCGACTCAAGCAACATCACTGTGACGTCGTTCAGACATGATATATGCGACATCACATGCAAAATCACCACCAGGTCACATACAAGTGTACATTTCATATTACAAATACATCACACTGCGACATCGATGATGTGGTCGCCGTACCTGCTGTGATATTCGTGGGATATATAATAATAATAATCATTCAACTTTACGAAGAAAATGTTTATTTTCCGAAAGTAAAAACAGATGATACAAAACTTATCATGACAATCACCCTAATTAGTAATCTTGAAGTAAAACATGACTCATATATATAGCAATACAATACAAATACATATTATTCATAAATGATACATATCAAATACACTTACAGACTTACATTATCTTGGGATCTTTCATCCACCTTGTTTTAGATTGCAATAGTCCTATCTCAGAGGTAATCACAATATTACCTTTTGTGATTGAACTCACGACCGTCGTTCTTAAATGATTGTATACCTCCAATTTGAAACTGCTATAATAATATGTGTGCTATAAATCATCTCAGATATTTCAACAGACAATTTGGAAGGAAATAGTCTGTACGGAGTCGGACTCATTCACTGACTGACATGGCCATGCACAGCTCAACATGGCGTCTGGCGTGTGCGTTCGTTTTGCGCATGTCTGCGTCACACTCACAGGTCACAAAGATGAAAGATATCTCATGAGGATATCAATGTGAATTATTTAGTTAACGTCGAAGAGATGTAGTTTGAAGAAGTCTCTGCCACATTACATAGTTTCCTGGTCGCGATGTCACCTTGCGACGTTGATATCGAATCTACGTCGATAAGATGTGTTAACGAGATATTGCATTCATGCAAGGTTGTTAACATCACACAGATGTTGATGTCACACGATGGTTGGCTGGGTAGGTGATCTGTAGATTTCCACTCTTGTACACAACGTGTATGGAGGTAAACAATAAGTGCCAACTCCAGCAGGAGCGAACATAACAGATGTTGACATTTTGAAAAAAATCCATTATCCTTCGTGCATGCTTTTCTCCACGTGGAATAACAATAAGTTTTTCACCAAATGAGAATAAGTGGTCGTCTATCACTGCTAACAATGCCTTCTCCATATTTTCTTGGGGATATATAGTTGCGCCGATATGGCGGCGTTCCCAACCTGTGGATGTTTTTCCGTGGCATGTCCGATATTAGCACTGAAAAACGCATTTCTTGATAATTTCGATTTTTTGAGTAAACGAAAGACGAAAAATGAACTTTGAGGTTATGGGGGTCTTGATAAGGCTCAAAACAAATATAAATTCCAGCATCATGCACAGGATTGCCAGGCCAGAAGAAAGACTATTTGGCTTTCTCAATTTAAGCAAAAGAAGTGAATTCATTAATTATTTATTTGTGAGCTCACCTTTGAGTTTCTTATCGAGCGCGAAATACATTATGATGCACGACTGGTTGGTTATCTCCCAGGTAGCCACACTGACAAAAATGACGTCTATAGGACCGCTAATTTTGGTCATTCATGGTCCCATTCGTCACTTGCCCAAATCAACTTCTGGACGTCTTGCGGACGTCACTATATATGGTCTTCACGCACTTGTTAATCTCAGAGGGTGTTGTCTTTTGATAGGTAATTCAAATTAGTCAACGAAATCCCACCAATCACAGCATTTTCTTGTTCAGGTGGCACAAAAGTCGTCAGCAAGAATATATCCGATGAACATGAATCGAACGTGACCAAACCCGAACCGAGCAGTTTGTACCTCTTTAGAATGTTGCCGTCTTTACAATTCCTACTCAGTCTCAGTACTATCATTTTGATGAATAATAGAATTTTGTATTGCTTTGCTGCTCCATTGTGCTTTGTGCGGTGCGATTGACGCATTGACGGGGTGCGGTTCCTCATTCAATATGTTTTGGTGTTTTGTTTCGATACACTGATTTTTGATCATTTTGGTGATGTTTTCTGTTATTCAAATCGATGATAGTGGTAAGAACAGTGGCTGTTGCCCATCAGGAATAGTGGTTGACTACTCTGACGACAAAAGAAGACAGAAGTGTTTTGGCCGCCATTTGATGATAGTCGAAACTATATAAGTGCCTTCTGCGACGGTGAATCCATCGATATCTTCATGTAATCAGCAAACATGTATTGTTTTCACATCGGCATTTTTATATGAAATACAGTGAGTTTACTTAATTCCAACTATTCGTGATTACAGAAATTGATCTGTTTCGATAATCGATATTGTTCTGAATTTGAGTTGAGCTCTGAATGATGATTGTAATCGATGTAATGAATGAATATATCATATATCATATGAAAACGAGGTTTCCTCTTATTAAGTTGTTCCTCATTCAAGTGATGATTAGAACAAACCTCAAAACGAGAAGTTTGGGCATATTTCTCGAAGAATAGGTAGACGTCGCTACGACGTCCAAAACTAGTCAACAACGTCAGTTTCAAGTCATAATAATTGAACACCATTGTCGTCCAAAAGTGACGTCAGTCTTTTGGCCGAAACTGATGTCGTCTTCTTTGTCATATAGTCGCCATGCATGTGCTACCTACCTGGGATGTCAAACTATGGATATTTTTGTTTACCGAGTCAACTGTCACCCATCAGTTGTAGCGTGGGCAATTTGAAATGAAAACATGAAATCCGATATAACCCCTGCGATCCGATATAGCCCGGATTGCGAATAGTGATATTCCTAAGCAACTCAAAAGAAAAATGTCACTCCATTCTTCATAGAATGTAAACTTATTTATTCTTCATGACAACTTTCGAAAATATTCATACTTACTTTTCTCCGTACCTTGAAAAACAGTTATTTTCATTTAATTATTCAAACATTTCTATTAAATTACTCAATTTTTTTTTTCGTCATCGTGATAATGTATAGCTATAGATTCACATTAACTTTATGTACCATGGACCTATGATGATCATTTGAATGGTCTTAACATGTCTCAAACCCTTTCGAAGTAGAGGATTGACTACATATATACAGGGTGTCCAGAGATAAAATCGACAAAACTTATGGAGTTATAGGGCCTGCCAATGATTGCAGAATGCCATATACAAATGTGCAAAACTGCTTTCTTATACTTCGTGGATTTCGACAAAAAATCAATCTGTCATATTAAATACAGGGATTATCCCTCGGATTATCCGATTGGGTTCAAATTTGGTAAATGAATAAAACTCAAAGGCTTCAACGAGTAGTTCTCTAAACGAAATCAATATCAGGACCGGCATTTTTGTTCTATGTTGAGTCATTGTGAGAATAACTCACCCTGTATAATAATAATCGAAAATCTGTGGTCACATTATGAATCTACGGAAAAAATACGATAGGAACTCGTTGAGAAAGTTTCTGGCACAATTTCGGTCATCCCGTAATGTATTATTATTTTAATGGGCGTGTACACCTTAGTAGAACTTTTGACTCAAATCATGTTTATAATGATCCTTTTATACATAAATGATGATTGACGACATAATTCCATCGAAAAATTAACTGGAATGTTTTATTTTTGTACATATAAATAATAGTACCATCTAAAAACGGGCCCTCTTATGACGTAGAAACCTCGTCTTGCCATAGTTAAAAGAAAATACCAAAAGGCCGACGTAGACTGAGGCAACTGATATATTAATTCTTTCAACTGTGATCTCGTGCTAATTCACTCTGTCAGAAATCATGAATCATTCATCTCTGCCTGGAATAGTCTTGTTTCAGTATTAGGGTTTTGACGTCACATCATCGCCTCGTTTTCAGAGCTCCGAAAAATCGGGGATTTCAATAATTTTTTATAAAACGTAGGGAGCACACAGCAAAAAACGGTTTGCGGTGGTGAGCTAGTTTGGCTAAGTTCTATCGAATTAGGAAATAATTTTTTTTTGTGATATAAGCCCATTGTTTTCATTAATTGGCGGCAAAAATATCATCAGGAATAGAAATATGATGAATATTTACGAAACCAAGACATATAATTGTTGTTATTCTCGTTGAGAACTTCGTAGAAACAGTTTATAAATTTCTTTCCTAACCTGAAAAAACTGAAGAATACATTCGTATCAGAACCTTTTTCATGTTCTTGTAAGCACAGGGTGTCCCTAAAAGGTCTCTACAATACCTCAGCACATATTCCTGAGGTCTAAATAAGCCAATTTGAAGCAACTTATCTCAGTCTGAAATGGCTTCATTTCCGAGATACAGATGCTAGTATATTCAAACAATAAAAGTCGAATTTCTTCAAAATTCATGACCATTTTTGATTATATCACTTTAAAAATTGGTAACATTTTCACTGTGGCCATATTAGAGTGCGCTTACCAATGCACTCCTTATATATGGTTCGGAAGGGCCATAACATTTTTCTCAATGTACTTTTCCACTTTTCGTTGATGGAATAATGTTTTCAATACCTCTAAACAAAATAGGTAATCTTGTGAAAATTCGCTAAAGTAAGCTGATTTCGAGATATTTCGGTTAAATGGATTCGATGCCGCACCGGAATATTTAAATTATTTTGAATAAAAAATTCATGTTTGCTGTTATTTTTGTGGATGTAATTTGGTCAGTGAATGAGTAGTGCAAAAATCGATTTGTACTTGTTGAATTTGATTTTTCAAATTTGCCACCCTGTATCTCGGAAACGGAGCAATCTCGGACATAGTAAAGTTGTCTCAAATCGGCTTATTTTCATCTTAGGACTATGTGCTAAGATTTTGTACAGATTTTTAAGGGACACCTTGTATAACTGACCTAATATAACGATTAACATTAATCTCATCGTAGATTCGGAATCAACTGAAAAAATTCAATAGGAATTTGTTGAGAACGGACATCAGGACCAAGTTTTTCGTGAATTATATTTGCTTTTTCAATGAATTCGGATTTATTAAAATACAACACAACGAACAACAATTTTTTGTAATAGACATAACAAGAAAAGTTAATTCGAAAAAAAAAATTATAATATTATAAAGTATTACAATACAAGTTTCTAAATGATTTTCTCAGTTATCTGAATCTAAGATCAGATAAATGATGATTGTTATACTAGGTCAGTCAGTTATACTTTTATAAGAACAAAGAAAAGACTCATTTCACCCCTGATACAAATTTATTCTTTATTTTTTAGGTTATGAGAGTAATTCATAATATATTACTACGAGGTAATCAAAGAGAATAACAACAAATACGTCATGTTTTTCTTTTTGTGACAATTTAATTCATGAATGAAAAATCCCACGAGAGCCGCGTGATTTTGTCATTATGACAGCGAAAAAAGTTTGCCCTATACAACTTTTCCAGCGATGATAACGGAACCTATAACTTTAGAAAGCATGACAATCAGTCATAAACAAATGTTTGATGAATAGAATTGTCTTACCGAATTACACTCTAGCTTTTTTTCAGTCGAAGTAAACTTGGCATTTATAATTCGAATTATAATGCATTAGGTAATTCAACTCAAAAAACTGCCAGAAAAAATTACTGATGGTCCTACGGACTCGTAATTTTTTCAGAGGCAGTTTTTTTTTTCGTCAAATTGGCAGGCAACAAAATTCTTTAAGCTAGAAAAAAAATAATATTATGGTCGTTCAGAAGGCTAATTGTTGAAGCATCTAGATTTGGTTTTGAACCCAATCGGGTAATACCTCTGTATTTAATATGGCAGATTATTGAATTTTTTGGCAAGATCCAAATCACTCTGTATGTCAGTAACAAAGCTGTTTTGGACATTTGTATATGGCATTTTGCAATCATATTGACAGTCCCTATAACCCCATAAGTTTTGTTGGTTTTATTTCCGGACACCCTGTATATTCGCCATCAATAAAAATTGTGAAGACGACTTCGATACTTGTCTTTCTTGATTTTTTTTATTTCAGTGCTACACTCATCGCCATCTGGGTTGGAAAATTAACGTACACGATACCTGCGACGAAGAACCTGCAGCCAGCGAATTGAGACCAGCCATTTTGCCGGCACCATCCAACCTCCAAGAAAAATCCGATACAGACCTGGAATCCAGCTCATCCATTCAAACAGAAATAAGGGTAAAACCAAATATCATTCTTAAAGAAGACAAAGGAGACTTACAATCAAAATCCGCATTTCCAGAAAAGAAAATAGAGCAAACATCTCCAAACCAAACACCAAAGTTACCAAATGAGCCATTCCCGATCCAGAAGAACAAGTTCGATCCATTCCATCATAGAAATAGGCCCCTGCACGCTTTGCACTCCGTCAGTCCTTACCGAGTAGAAGTACACCACGGTGAACCAAACCACAATAATTTCCGATCAAGCACACCAATAGAATCAACTTCTGAAACCACCACAACCACTGAAAAACTCTCAAGCACTCCTAAGCTAACCGATAACATAGCAATAGCTTCTTTCCAGACTAATGACACATACCTCATTCCTCCAGCAATTAAACCACCCCAAAATTTTAATCACAGACCACTGCATTCAAATTACTTCAAACCTCAAATGTCAAGCATGACTAAAAGAAGACCTCAGAATCCTTATCCTCACAGAAATGTTGCTTATCCAAAAACCTCATACAAAAAGTATGTTATGGGCTCGCCGATGAACATACCTCAGACGATCTCCAGACCATTCTATTTTGATCATAGCAAACCTAAATTACTCACCAGCCTACCTCACATGAGTTACATCCAATCTCACTTGCTACCTCCTACCATCACCAGATCCCCACCAATTCGAAACCAAATGATGAATGCTATCGTCACAAAAACTGAAGTGAAAAATGTGGAGATATCTCCTGAGC